GGCTTTTTAATGCACAGTCCTTATACTTTTAATCTCAATGGTTTTTGCTTTGGCTGTCCTCGCAACTATTTATGAATTTTCACTTACATTCACCACCAAAACTATCGCAAAAATTTGCAGCACACACACAAATTGGTAATCCATTGTCCAATATTGTGCTGTGGTGGAAAAGGCATAGGATTTATATCCTTAGAGTTGATATTGTTTCTCGTCCCTTTACTTTAATGGTCACGGACTGCGAAATTGTTTCCGAAAACCGACGCGTACTATTCGAATGTTTAAAGCAAACTGTTGAGCCGCTGAGGCGGGTATCTGGCATAAAACTTTGCTATTTTTTCGTGCCTATGTGGCAAACAAATGCGTTTTCAGCCCAAATGCTGGTGGGCTAGGCGGCACTTAGTTGGCCCACCACCCGCGCACGAATCGTTGCAGCCAAGTGAAACATGAAACTTACAAGAAAACAACAATTCAACAAAAGAAAAAAAAGAAATAAACATTCGTATGTTTGTACATTTGTGTGCGTACAAATGAAAACAGAAGCATTAAAGAAAATGAAATGAAACCGAAATTTTCGTAATGTTTTTAGCAGCTGGAGCTTCTCTGTGTGAGTTGCTTCGTTGCAAGTGATCGCTGAGTGGCAAAATGTGCTCCGATTGAGGCGCGTCTGTGAAGTACTACTTATGCTGACTTTAGTCAGTTTATACGTATGTATGTGCATAGGTTTGGGTATTAACAAAAATCACTTCAACAGCTGTTGCTACTGTTGGACTCAGTCAGCTGGCTTTGGCACGCGTGTGTGCAGCAGTAACGCCCCATAGGCATCGCCAAAGTTCGGCAGGGCATAGTAGTTTCCTGTCTACGGTCGGCATATCAAAGTAAAGATCAATGGGCTTTAATTTATATACACAACGGTTGATATTCAAATTAAATCATTTTGGATGATTTAAGTTGGCTTGGCACGGAAGACAACTTTTCATATACTTACATATATTTAAGTTGTAAAACTAAAGCGCAACTAACAACTACCTTAAATAAACAAAAGTCAAAATTAATTTGTAACGCTTCAGAAAATCTCTCTAGACTTGGTTAAGTGAATTAAAAAATCTTTTTATTTGGACAAACTATGACCAACACACATACATATAAATAACATTAAATTATAATTTGAAATTAATTTAAATAATCCTGGAATTCTTTTGGATAACTACAAACGCGTATACAGTGGTGGCCACATAATTAGGGACACTACTTCTTTATAAGTTCTAACCATTTATTTTTTCTTTATTTTTATAAATTATTTGTTTACAAAATAATAGTAGTTTTTAACACAACGAAAGCCAAGTAACTCAAACTTTCAACCCTTTCACAAGAACTATAAATTATCGCCCAATTAAAAAAATTTTCATCAAAATTTCTAAAAAACTTCTGGAATGCAGTTTTATAGTTTATTCAATTTTAATACATTGTGCAAGTTTTAAACGGCTGGGAATTCGAGTTAATTTTTTGGAAATTTTTTCGTGACGGTGTTCCTTATTTTCTTCCATATAAAAAAAGTTCGAACATACTTTGTATAGAAAACAAGTAAGAAAGTCTAAGTTCGGGCGGAGCCGAACATTAAATACCCAGCGCAAGTATTAAATATATGTTTTTTCAACTTTCCGAAAGCACCGCTACATGGTAAGCCGGGGTGTATCAATTTTGAGTAAATTAGCGTCTTTAAATTTCGAAATATTGAAGTTTCAAGCATTTCTGAAATTTACCGTTATATGAAAGGCGGCCTCAATTTAGTCAGATTTCGATAATTTTCAACGTTTTGCTTTTATGTGGCGAGCACAATAACTATACCGAGTTTGGTACAAATTGGTAAAACGGTTACCGAGATACATATATGTGATCATAAGTGGGCGGTGCCACGCCCACTTTCCAAAATTTTATCATAAACGTATTTCTTGGTAAAGAATTGTTGCAAGCATCAATTTTGAATAAATCAGCTTTAATATTTAGTGATTTATCGAAGATTTTGCATTTCCCTAAATTACCGTTATATGGGATGTGGGCATGGTTATCGTCCGATTTTTAAAATTTTCAGCCATTTGGTATGCTGCACCAAGGCCAACAACTGTGCCAAGTTTCGAAGAAATTGGTGCAGCGGTTACCAAGATATACACATGTAACCGTAAGTGGGCGTGGCTACGCCCATTTTCCAAAAATGTATAATATTCTTATTTTTCGTCTGAAAGTTTTTAGTAATATCAATTTTGAGTGAATTATCTTCAGTAGTTACTAAAATATCGCAGTTTTCGTATTTCAGAAAATTACCGTTATATGGGAAGTGGGTCCGATTTCTCCCATTTTCAATACCAACCTACCTAGGATAAATGGAAACCTACATACCTAATTTCGTTGAGATATCTAAATTTTTGCTCGAGCTATCGTGTACACGGACGGACGGACAGACAGACAGACGGACGGACATACAGACATGGTAAATCGACATCTCTATTCATTCTGAGCATTTATGTATACATTTGTCTA